CGCCGCCAGCAAACGCCCTTCTCTATCTATCGTCTCCTTGCGGAAGGGTTCGTCCTTTTCCAAGCCGCGCCACCAGCGCAAGCAACGAAGGTATGCCTCGCAAGGCAGGAACGCTGGAGCTTCGCTCGGTGCGAAGCGAGAAGCAGGATTCACCTGACAGAAGGACTCCAGGGGGTGTGGGATCGACGGCGCTATGGAACGATGTACCGCGTAAATCTCTGACGGAGCCCAGTCTAGAACAGAAGGGGGTGGAGGAGAGGGAGGACGGGGGAGCAGGGGGAGGAGAGGAGGAGGAGGGGCAGAACGGGGGATGGGTACTGGGGGGGGAAAGGGTAAGCTAGGTGCGCGATGAGGAGGAGGTGGAGGAGGAGAAGGAGGAGAGGGAGGAGGAAGAGGAGGAGGAGGAGGAGGAGGAGGAGAAGGAGGAGGAGGATGAGGAGGAGGAGAGGGAGGGACACTGGGAGGGGGAGGAGGAGGACGAGGAGGAGGAGAAGGAGGAGGAGGAGGAGGACGAGGAGGAGGGGGAGGAAGCAACCGAACACCTGGGTGGGCCAAAATCGCAGACACGGAAACGCGCGCGTCCTAATTCGGAATTAGGACGCAGCACCAATTACCCAGGAACCCAAGGGATCTTGGAGGTCCAGGCCCAAAATCCCACGCGTCCTAATTCGAAATTAAGACGCAGCCCCAGAAGCCCAGGAAACCCAGGAGTCCAGGAAGTCCAGGTTGAAAGGCCCCAGAGGCCAGGAAACCCAGGAGTCCAGGAGATCCAGGTCCGAAACCTCCAGGGGCCCAGCAATCCCAATAGCCCAGAAGAGCTAGATCCTAGACGCCACGCGCCCTAATTCGGAATTAGGACGCAGCCCCGAATACCCAGGACCCCCAGGAGCTCCCGAGGCCCTGGCGCACAATCCCGCACGTCCTGTTCCTCCTCATGCTCCTCCTCCTCCTCCTCTCTCTCCTCCTCCCTCTCCTCCTCCTCCTCCTCCTCCTCCTCCTCCTTCTCCTCCTTCTCCTCTCCCTCCTCTCCCTCCTCCTCCTCTTCCTTCTCCTGTTGATTCTCAAGTTCCTGCCCATGGATCTGGTAGCGGTGCGCCTCCCAGAGGTCTCGAGTGCGACACGGCGCTCAACGCGAGCCGTGATCGCGAGGGTGTGGGTCAGATCCCCCTGGAGACGTTTTGATGTTGGTCCAGAGATCATGCCATGAAGACATATCGTAAATCTATCGTAAATTTATGGTAAAATTATGGTAAATTTATAGTAAATCTGTGGTTTTCCATTAGATTTACTACAAATTTACCATAAATTTACGATGGATTTACTATAAATCTACATGGCAGGTTGTCCAGACCAACAACAGAAGCTTCCGAACTGGATCATTTCTTGATCTTGAGCATCGCCTTGTCTCCCTTCTCCATCTTGCCAACGTGGCTCTCGTACATCCGCTCCAGCTCTTTGTAGTAGTCCAGGCATTCCTTGTACGGCTTCGAGGTGTGGTCGATCGCCTTCGCGATATCCTTCGCCTTGACGTTGGCCAACGGGGTCATCAGGAGAGCCTCTACGTCCTGAGTCGGAACCACCAATTTCTTCAAGATGTCGAGCCCCTTCCGCGCCAGGTCGCGCACCGCGTCGCTGCCAGCCTTCTGCGCCAGGCTCGTGCCAACCTTGCGGGTGCTCAAGGTGAGCCTCGTCACGCTGTCGAAGCACTCTTGCAGCAGCTTCATGTCGGCCTCGCTCGCCTTCTTGTCGTCACTCTCGAAGCGGCTCGGCGCCGACCCGCTGTCGATCTTGTCGCCAAGCGCCCTCCACTTCAGCGGTTTCTTGGACTCCTCGTGCATCTCGGCCATGATGGACAGCATCTCCTCGTCGTGTTGGAAATGGTCCTCCTGGATGGCACGCTTCCGCTCCTGCATCAGCTCTGTTGCAGTCTTCTCGTTCTTCTCGTAGTACCACAAGCCGTTCTCCTGCCAGACCTCCTTCTCTTCTTTGGCCTTCTTGAAGAGCTCCTCGTTCCCGTGGAAGATGCTCGCGATGAACGTGTTCAGCTTGAGGCCGACCTGCTTCTCCGAATCTGTTTTGGTAGTGGAGCGGATGAGCATCTTCTCCAAGGTGTTGGTCTTCTTCTCGACCTGGCCACGGTACGACACGTTCCTCGGCACGTACGCGTTGATGATGGCGTTAGCTGCCCTCGTCTTGCCAGCCTCAGTGCACCCTTTGGCGCGGAGCTCCCAGTAACGCTTCCAATCCACAGGGTCGATCCTGGTCTCGTTGTTCTCAAAGACGTGACGTTGAGCTCTGGATGCGGTCCTGTCATCGTAGACTCCATCTGGCGCGTCCTCGTCTTCGACAAGGTCGCCTGTGTCGATCTTGGCCAACGTCCAGTCCTTCGTATCAGGATCCTCACTGGCAGGAGCCGCAGCAGGGCGCTTGAGAACCGCCTGATCCGCGGCGTCGCTGGCAGCTGGGCGCTTCTTCGGCGCCATGTCTGACCGATGAGCTGTTGTTATGGAAGGTTGTAGGTCACCTGTCGATCTCACGAACAGCAGGCTCGAACCGAATTGTCTGGTGACGGGCGAATGGGTGCACGCCGAACGATAAATCCCTTTAAATGGGATGGCAGTGCCGGCAGTGCCGCTGATTGATTTTAAGCTGCTCAGGCCACGTGGGAACGCTGTCCAAAAAAAAATCCTTCCTCTTCCTCCTCCCTCCCCCCATCCTTTACTCCCTCCCTTCACCCCTTCCGTTCTCTCCCGCCCTTCCCCCTCCCTGGGCCTCAAGGAGGTTCCAAGTTGACCGCCAGAAAGCTCCAAGACGGCATAATAGGCAGAGCTTGCTAGATGGTTTCCAGAATCCAGGCTCGCTTCGACTAGGCAAAAAAGAACCAGCCCTCCATGCCTCCTGCAGAGATTTCAGTTCTTTCTGCTCGAGGTCCCTTGGAAATTTTGGAGACCTGCAATCTTGACCCCTATTGGGCACCGAAAGGCCCTGGATCCGACTGGTGGAAGAAACCATAGGGGTGGTCCCAAGGCATCGACTGTTAGAACGCCGTTCTACTTCTAACATCGAATGATAGAAATCCTCACCACGTCTAACAGACAGCGCGTCGGGGCGAGAGGAGGACGATGAATACACAGACAAGGTAGGATTGGTTGCAGGAGTGAGAGGAGGAGTGGGAGGAGGAGTGGGAGGAGGAGGAGGAGGAGGAGGAGGAGGAGGAGGAGGATGACGATGTTACTCCAGTGGCCCACGGAAGTAGCATCCCGCATGCCCCGTCCTTTTTGAAAGAGGAGGACGAGGATATGAGGAGGAGGAGGGGGAGGGGGGCGAGGAGGAGGAGGAGGACGATGTTACTCCAGTGGCACACGGAAGTACCCTCCCGCTTGCCCCGTCACTCTTGAAAGAGGAGGAGGAGATGATGATCAGGAGGAGGAGGATGAGGAGGAGGAGGACGATGAGGAGGGGGACTTGCCGCATGAGCACGCGTCTCGGTTCTTCCGTCGGTCCTGCTGGGGGCCCTCTGAGTGCTTTTGGACGGCCCCAAGACGGCTCCAAGGGGGCCCCAAGAGGGTCCCAAGAGGCGCCCAAGACAATGCCCAAGAGAGACCACCCAGAAAAATATAATATTTTTCTGGGCGCTTTCCTCGCTTTCCACGTCTTGGAGCCCTCTTGGGGCGCGCGCCCAGAAAAATATAATATTTTTCTGGGCACATTCCTCGCTTTCCACGTCTTGGAGCCGTCTTGGGGCGCGCGCCCAGAAAAATATAATATTTTTCTGGGCGCTTTCCTCGCTTTCCACGTCTTGGAGCCGTCTTGGGGCCCTCTTGGGTCCTCTTGGAGCCCTCTTGGGCCCTCTTGGGGTCCTCTTGGAGCCATCTTGGGCCCAGGGTGCGCATGGCGGGTAGCCGACGTGCACGCGGCAGCGGGCCCCTCAGCCCTCCGGGCCGCGGCGGCGCTGGACGTGGGTCGTTGCGGTGCGCCGCGTTAAAACTGTTAAACAGTTTTGCTCCTCCTCCTCCCCCCCCTTGGCCCCTCCTCCCCCTCCTCCTGCGATCCCCCGCCAACCTTAGATGTCCATGGAGGAGAGGGAGGGTCTGAGGATGAGTAGGCACTCCTCCCCTTCCTGTGCGCCTCGTTGTCCTTTGCCCTCCGCAGCATTCACTCCTCCTCTACTCCTCTCCTCCTCCCTCTGCCTCCCCCCCATCCTTCTCCCTCCTGCCTGCTCCTCCCCTCGGTTCCTCCACCACCTCCTCCTCCTCCTCATGCTCCTCCCCCTCGTCCTCGTCGTCGTCCTCGTCCTCCTCCTCCTCCTCCTCCTCCTCCTCCTCCTCCTCCTCCTCCTCCTCCCCCTCCTCCTCCTTCCCTCCCCTCACTGTCTCGGGAAGCGTAATCTGGCGGTTAAAACTTTACGGGAAACCACAGGAAGCAAATTCTGGCGGGGCAACCTCTATGGGAAGCCTCGCACAGCAATACCTGGAGGGGCAAACTCAGCTCTCTAGTCCCTCCCTCGTCCCCCTTCTCATCCTCCTTCTCCTCCCCCTCCCCCTCCCCCCTCCTCCTCCTCCTCTCCCCCCTCCTCCTGCTCCTCCTCCTCCTCCTCCTCCCCCTCCTCCTCCTCCTCCATCGCTGCTTGGATTGGGAGGTGGGGACGGGGTAGGAGCGGGCGACCCTTCATTCTTTTTCTAACTTTTCTGGGGAAGATCGTGCCAACCGTCTAGCGCATTGCATATCAATCTGACAAATTTTTGAAAAGCACAGCACTGCACGCCAGCCGGCCAAACAGAAACCCACAAGCTGTCCCCCGACTCCGCGGCAGAACTGGCGTCATCTCCAATGAACGGTGGTAGGAAAGAGGCGGGGCGTGAAGGATTAGGCTACAAGGGCAGTGGTAGTTCAACAAAGAGGAAGTCGTAGAGAGGGAGAAAGTGTGAGGGAAGAGTGAGCGAAGGAGTGGACGACAGGAAAAGGAGTGCTTGCTGGCAGCTACAGACTAACATGGCAATCTACATAGCAAACCTGTCACGCATAGCCAAGCACTGTTTCTTGGATATGTGGTTGGTGTTAATCTCCTGTGCGATCTGGCGCATGTGGTCGCCGAGGTTCGGCCCGTAGGCCGTCTCGTTGGCAGACCAGACGTGCACGCGCTTCTTGCGGCCGTCCTGCGTAAAGAACGCGCAGAGCTCGTACCTCGGTTTCTCCTCCGCGGTCGGCCCACTGAGGGCAGCTTTCTCCAAGGGCACGTTGAGCGTATCAGCGGCAGCCTTGTCGATCTTCGGGGTCTTCGGGTCGATCTTCGGGGTCTTCTTCGGGTCGATCTTCGGGGTCTTCGGGTCGATCTTCGGGGTCTTCGACGGGGCCGCAGCCGCGGCGCGCCTCCTGTTGCCACCAGGTGGGCCCTTGGGCTTCTCGGGCGTCTGGAGGTTCCCCTGGCCCTGCGTCGCTGCAGCTGGCCTGCGCTTCATGTTCTTCCTCGCTCGAGGCCCCAGGACACAAGATTTCCTCCTCTCGGCGTTCGGCATGAGCACTGCGTGAATCCTGAGCACGCCGTTCTCGTCGTAATCCTCATCGGCAGGCGTGGCAGCATCAGGCTCCTCGGCGTGAGGGGCCTCAGGACTCTCGAAGTTGACAGGTCCAGCCTTGCCGTCCTGCAAGGCGTCGGGCTCAGGGGTTGTCGACTGAGGTGGCGGGGATCCGCGGGGCGGAGCTTCCGTCTCTCCGCCAGCGGCGTCCTCCTCATCAGAGCTCTGCATGAGGGACAGGCTGAACCCCCTGGCGGGCGGGCTAAACGAAACCAAAACCTGGCCTGGAAACCACTGGTTTCACGACTGGGAGGTATGGAAAACAAACCATGCAAATGACCATATTTTCCCAGAGTCTGACCTCCTGCGCTCGCCCTTGCACACCGAGGTCTTCGCGAAGAAGTTTTCGCCGATGAGCGACTTGCTCGGCGATGGCAGCGCAGGAGACTCCTGCTGAGGAGAACGTGGGGCCCGCGGACGGGTGGGCTTCCTGACAGGCGAAAGCTGCGGCGGCGGTGACGTCGCGGGCTCGCTGCCACTCGCGAAGCCCATGTGGTCGGCCTGGCTGACCTTGATATTCCGAAGGATGTTCTGGATGACAATACTATCAGCGCCGCTGAGCTGCCTGCGAAAACCGCCTGTTTTCCTGCACTTCCTGACCATGTTGGCAGTCGTATCTTCGTACTTCAGAGTCCGTATGAACTTCATGATGTTTTGGAAATGTGTCACGAGATGGCCAATGAACGTCGTCCTGCTCATGTCCTTCGGGTGGTCATCTGTTTTGACCACCTGCTCCAAGGCCTCCTCCAATCGCTTGGGCAACATGGTCATGTTGTCGAGGCCTGCCTGGACAAACGAATCCAAGATCGGTGAAATCTTCACCACGCTGTCGGGAGTCACGTGAGACGGCCTCGAAACGAGCTTCGACGGCACGAAGAATTGGCTGAAAGTAGTGTCACCCATGTGTTTTTTGATGCATTCAACGTACTTGGAGGTCGGGACTTGCGCGTTGGCCACCTGCCGCTGCACGGAGGTTGCCATGGTTACGAAGACCACGCTGAGAGCACAGGCGGTGTACGACCACACGAAAACTTGAGCCAAAACGGCTGCGGATGACGAGGGTGGCGGAGGACGTGGGCAGGCGGATGCGGAGGAAGGCGGACCACAAGCAGCAGCAAATATGAATGGGAGGATGAAGGGGAATAGGCAGAGCAGCGGGACAAGCACCAAACAGCAGAGACGATCCCGCTTGATACGTCCCTCAATCTACTCAGGTACGTTTTTTCTAGAAGACGTTTGCACTCACGCTCAGGAATTCGCACTCTCGAGAAACTTCCGCACGTCTTAGAAGGTCCCGAAGTGACGACGACGTCGGCCACGGTCACATGCAGCTCGACGAGCCGCCGCTAATTATCCAGAGACTTGCGACAGAGATCGGGCGCAAATATTGGGCACAAAGAACGGGCACAAAGATCGGGTACAGTTCCCAAGAATTTCGGGCACGGTTCCCAAAAACTTCGGGTACGAAGATCGACCCCAATTCCCAAGAACACAAACCCTAGGTCAAAAGATCGATCCAGAGATCGATCACACTGATCGGGAAGGATTTTCGGGCAGCCGGATGCATAGGGTAGGCCACTTCGTGCTCTTCGACTTCCCAGAACTCCATTCCCGGGCCGCATTTTGAATGCCCGGAGCCAACTGTAGGCCACTTCGTGGTCTTCGAGTCCCCAGAACTCCATTCCCGGGCCACATTTTGAATGCCCGGAGCCAACTGTAGGCCACTTCGTGCTCTTCGAGTTCCCAGAACTCCATTCCCGGGCCACATTTTGAATGCCCGGAGCCAACTGTAGGCCACTTCGTGCTCTTCGAGTTCCCAGAACTCCATTCCCGGGCCACATTTTGAATGCCCGTAGCCAACTGTAGGCAACTTCGTGCTCTTCGACTTCCAGAACTCCCATTCCTGGGCCACATTTTCAGCAGGGGCAAGAGCACGACGAGGAGGAGGACGAGCAAGACCAGGAGGACGAGGACGAGCAGGAGCAGGACGAGGAGCAGGAGGAGCAGGAGAAGAAGGACGAGCAGGAGGAGGAGGAGGACGAGCAGGAGGAGGAGGACGACCAGGAGGAGGAGGACGACCAGGAAGAGGAGGAGGAGGAGGAGGAGGGGAGGGGAGGGGGAGGACTACCAGGAGGAGGAGGAGGAGGAGGAGGAGGGAGAGGGGAGGAGGAGGAGGAGGGAGGAGGAGGTATGAGGAGGAGGAGAGGGGAGGAGGGAGGAGGAGGAGGACGGGGAAGGGGGGACGAGGAGGAGGAGGGACGAGGAGGAGGAGGAGACGAGGAGGAGGAGGGGGGGGGAGAGCACCAGGAGGCAGGAGAACGAGACCACAGGAGGAGGAGCTGAGGAGGAGGAGGAGGAGGAGGGAAGGAGGAGGAGGAGGAGGAGGAGGAGGAGAGAACACCACGAGGAGGAGGACGAGCAAGACGAGGATGGACGAGAACGCGGGCGACCAGGAAGAGGAGGAGGACGGATGAGGGGAGGGGGGAGGGACTACCAGGAGGAGGAGAGGAGGAGGAGGAGGAGGTAGTGGAGGAAAAGGAGGAGGAGAGGAGGAGGAGGAGGAGGAGGAGGAGGGAAGAGGAGGAGGAGGACGAGGAGGAGGAGGAGGAGGCAGGACGAGGAGGAGGAGGGGGGGGTGAGAGCACCAGGAGGGAGGAGAACGAGGAAAACCAGGAGGAGGAGGAGGAGGAGGAGAACGAGGACCACCAGGAGGAGGAGGAGGAGGAGGAGGAGGAGGAGGAGGAGAGAGCACCAGGAGGAGGAGGACGAGCAAGACGAGGACGACGAGAACGAGGACGAGCAAGAGGAAGAGGAGGAGGAGGAGGAGGAGGAGGAGGAGCAGGAGAAAGAGGAGGAGGAGGAGGAGGAGGAGGAGGAGCAGGAGAAAGAAGACGAGCAGGAGGAGGACGAGGACGAGCAGGAGGAGGAGGAGGACGACGAGCAGGAGGGGAGGGCGGCCGGCTGCCCCGGCCGGCTGCCCCTGCCGGCTGCCCCGACCGGCCGCGCTTGCGCCCGGCCGCGGAGCGCGGTCAAGGGAAGGGGGCGGGGGCCGGCGGTCAAGGTTGATACCCCCTCCTCGCTCGTTCCACTGCCTGCTCGCAGCAGTGGCACCAGCACATGCACAAGAGATTCCTGCATGAACTGTTGCACTTGCATATCTAATGGCCTTCGGCCAAGGTCGTGCGCACCAGGGCTCTGAGGAAGGCCCCCTAAGCTCGAGACGCTTCGAATGCTCTGTAGTTTTCTCGTAGCCTCCTTTCCATGCCTCTGTAGCTTCCACGCACTCCTGCGTCGCCGAGTTTCTTCTTGCAGCGTCCTTGTCGTGTCGCGGGGTGCGTTTGCGTCACTTCGGCGCTGCTGCGCCTTGAGACGTGTCCCTGCAGCTTCTTCGTCTCATCGGGGACTCCAGCGTCACCGAATTTGTTCCCGTATTGTGCTTGTCGTTCCAGGTCGTGCGTACGCGCGCAGAATGTTTCTCTGCAGCGCCCTCGTCGCATCAGGATCTCCAGCGTCGCAGAATGCATCCTTGTAGCGCCTCTTCTTCCAGGGCGGCGTGGTCCTGAGACGCCGCGGACGACTCGCCGCGGACGGTTCCATTCGATTCCACGGGCGATCGTGCGCATGTAGTTTGCCACGCGCCTGCGCGCGCGGAGAGGGCCTGGGCGCCCTGTCGCCTGCGGGCGACCGCGCGGGCTAGTCATCTGAGTCTTCAGGGGAATGCTTTCAGATATGCTTCTACACATCGCTGTTAGGTTGCTTTGCCGGGATATTTTTTTGTTACCTAACAGCGAAGACTGATAGGTTTCTAGTGGTCTTAAAAAAGAGCAGCAGATGACTCCACAGGGGGGTCTGGGCGGGTGCCGGACAGGGTGCCGCAGAAGTCGTTTTAAGCAAACAGTCACACACTTCGTGCTCTTCGAACTCACAGAACTCCATTCCCGGGGCAACATTCTGAAATGCCCGGAGGCTCAACCTGTAGGCACTTTTCGGCTCTTTCGAGTTCCAGAGAACTCCATTCTCGGGCCCAACCCAACATTTTGAATGCCCGGAGCCAACTCTAGGCCACTTCGTGGTCTTCGAGTCCCCAGAACTCCACTCCCGGGCGACATTTTGAATGCCCGGAGCCAACCGTAGGCCACTTCGTGCTCTTCTACTTCCCAGAACTCCATTCCCGGGCCACATTTTGAATGCCCGGAGCCAACTGTAGGCCACTTCGTGGTCTTCGAGTTCCCAGAACTCCATTCCCGGGCCACATTTTGAATGCCCGTAGCCAACTGAGGCTGAGGCAAGCTGTTGCTGAGGCAGGCTGAGGCTGAGGCTGAGGCAGGCTGAGGCTGAGGCAGGCTGAGGCTGAGGCTGAGGTTGAGGCTGAGGCTGAGGGTGAGGCAGGCTGAGGCAGGCTGAGGCAGGCTGATGCTGAGGCAGGCTGAGGCTGAGGCTGAGGCTGATGCAGGCTGAGGCTGAGGCTGAGGCTGAGGAAAAGGTTGAAGCTGAGGCTAAGGTTGAGGCTGAAACTGAAGCAGGCTGAGGCTGAGGCTGAGGCAGGCTGAGGCTGAGGCTTAGGCAAGCTGATACTGAAGCAGACTGAGGCTGAGGCTGAGGCAGGCTGAGGCTGAGGCAGGCTTGAGGCTGAGGAAGGCTGAGCAGCTGAGGCGGAGGCGGAGGCTTGAGGCTGAATGCTGGGCAGGCTGAGGCAGACGCTGAGGCAGGCTGAGGCCGAGGGCTGAGGCAGGCTGTGCTTAGGCTGAGGCTGAGGGCAGGCTTGAGGCTGCGGCTGGATGCAGCTGAGCCTGAGCATGGCTTGAGGCTCTGAGGGCTGAGGCTGAGGCTGTGGCTCTTGCTGGCTGAGGCGGAGGATGAGGCGGCTCGAGATAGCAGGACGCTGAGGCAGGCTGAGGCTGAGGCAGGCTGAGGCTGAGGCTGAGGCTGATGCAGGCTGAGGCTGATGCTGGCTGAGCTGAGGCCGAGGCTGAAGGCAGACTGAGGCTGAGGCTGAGGCAGGCTGAGGCTGAGGCCGAGGCAGGCTGATGCTGAGGCTGAGGCAGGCTGATGCTGAGGCAGGCTGAGGCTGAGGCTGAGGCAGGCTGAGGCTGAGGCTGAGGCAGGCTGAGGCTGAGGCTGAGGCAGGCTGATGCGGAGGCAGGCTGAGGCTGAGGCTGAGGCTGAGGCTGAGGCTGATGCAGGCTGAGGCTGAGGCAGGCTGAGGCTGAGGCCGAGGCTGAAGGCAGACTGTGGCTGAGGCTGAGGCTGAAGCAGGCTGAGGCTGAGGCTGAGGCAGGCTGAGGCTGAGGCTGAGGCAGGCTGATACTGAGGCAGGCTGAGGCTGAGGCTGTGACTGTGACTGCCGTTGCCACTGCGACTGTCATCGCGAATGCGACTGCGACTGCGAGAACAGGAGAATTCTACAACTGGATTCTCATCTGGATTTTAAGGGGAATGTTTCCATATATGCTTCTACACATCGCTGTTAGGTTGCTTTGCCGGGATAATATTTTTGCTGTTTTGTTACCTAACAGCTTGTTCTGATAGGTTTCTAGTGGGGTCAAAAGAGAGCAGCAGATGACTCCACAGGGGGGTCTGGGCGGGTGCCGGACAGGGTGCCGCAGAAGTCGTTTTAAGCCAACAGTCACACACTTCGTGCTCTTCGACATCCCAGAATTCCATTCCCGGGCCACATTCTGAATGCCCGGAGCCAACTGTAGGCCACTTCGTGCTCTTCGACTTCCCAGAACTCCATTCCCGGGCCACATTTTGAATGCCCGGAGCCAACTGTAGGCCACTTCGTGCTCTTCGAGTCCCCAGAACTCCATTCCCGGGCCACATTTTGAATGCCCGGAGCCAACTGTAGGCCACTTCGTGGTCTTCGAGTTCCCAGAACTCCATTCCTGGGCATGATTTTGAATGCCCGGAGCCAACTGTAGGCCACTTCGTGCTCTTCGAGTTCCCAGAATTCCACTCTCGGGCCACATTTCTGGGATTTTTGCCAGAGCCAAAAAAATGTAGGCCACTTCGTTGGTACTTCGATGCTGAGGCTGAGGCAGGCTGAGGCTGAGGCAGGCTGAGGCTGAGGCCGAGGCTGAAGGCAGCTGAGGCTGAGGCTGAAGCAGGCTGAGGCTGAGGCTGAGGCAGGCTGAGGCTGAGGCTGAGGCAGGCTGATGCTGAGGCAGGCTGAGGCTGAGGCTGAGGCTGAAGCAGGCTGAGGCTGAGGCTGAGGCAGGCTGAGGCTGAGGCAGGCTGAGGCTGAGGCTGAGGCAGGCTGAGGCTGAGGCTGTGACTGCGACTGCCGTTGCCGCTGCGACTGTCATCGCGAATGCGACTACGACTGCGAGAACAGCAGAATTCGACAACTGGATTTTCATCTGAATCTTAAGGGGAATGCTTTCAGATATGCTTCTACACATCGCTGTTAGGTTGCTTTGCCGGGATAATTGTTTTATCAATTTCTTTGGAGTCGCGCTATCGCTCGAGACTTTCTCGCGACTCATGCAGGACGCACGCGTCAGCAACCCGCCTGCACTTTGCTCATTCCGTCAATCCGTTCTCTCTTCCTTTGCCTTGAGGGCTTTACGACATACACAGTGCAGGCAAGAACGATATACCATGAAGGTGATACGATCGAAGATCAAGAGGGCGGGTTTCGATTGCTTTTGATCTACGTGTTCAAGCACACGCGATCAGGTCAGAGCGAATAGTCGTAACATGATGTTCGTTATGGTTGTGGTTGTTGTTATTGTTGTTGGTCGGCATGCTTACTTGTTTGCGCCTTGTTGTTGTTTGTTTATTTGCTTGTTATTTGTTTTTGTGTGTTGTCTGTTGTCTGTTGTCAGTTGTTATTGTTTGTTGCCGTCGTCACTCCCGCGGCCCAGCCCGCGACCCACCCGCGACGCACCCGCGACCCACCCCGCGACTCACCCGCGACCCACCCGCGACCCACCCCGCGACTCACCCGCGACTCACCCGCGACCCCCCCGCGCCCCCCCCGCGATCCACCCGCGACCCACTGGCGACCCACCCGCGACCTACCCATTTGCTTTGACGACAATTCGTCGTCTGCGGCGGGCTCATTGTATCATTTGATTTTGAATCGGCGCCTGCGGCGGGCTTCGTCAGAGCCTCGCAGGCTGCTGGCGACCCCGCCGCCCCCTCACTCTTATCCGCAACTGCGGGGTGCTACGTATCACACATATCATCACTCTACGGAAATCTCCTGGGGTGAGTTCCGCCAAGGATTTCGAAGCGAATCCAGCCTCAGTGACGAGGGCCTCCCAGGATGCTCAAACAGGCAGACACGATGGAGAAGTAGCGGTATCCCCAGACCCCCGGCGACGTGGCTTCCTCATGACGTGGACCCCAGGAGGTCTGGACACCTTTCGGCTTCTCATCCCGCGATGTTTCTGGACTGTCCCGGGGACCAGCGAGGGACCCCCGAGGCCGAAGACGACCAGACACTGCCTGCCGCTGCTGCTCAGTGCCGCCCGTGGGGGCGCGAAGCGAACCTCGCCCCGCGCGCCGCGAGCCTGGGCCTGAGCTAGGGGGCCACGTGCGAGCCCTACCCCTACCCCCCACGATTTCTGACCCCGCCCTCCCCCTCTCAGAGATCGTGGGGGGTAGGGGCAGGGCCCGCACGTGGCCCCCTATGAGCGGCTGCCCTTCTCGCGAGGGCGGGAGGGCGCGAGGGCGCGAGGGCACGCGAAGAGGACCGCGCGCGGCGCACCGCGGAAAGCGCGAGGGCGCGAAGTGTCGGGCGAGGCGCGAGCGTTGCTCCGCGGCGCGCGAGCGCTGTCCGGGCTGCCCCCGGAGGCCTTGGCATCGCTCGGACGTGTTAAAACAGGGCTCGGATCGGGATAAATCGCTCCAGAGCGTTCCGGAGCGCTCTCAGAGCGTTCCGGAACGCTCTGGAGCGGCCGCGGCGCCCAATACATCCTCCAAGCCCGCCGATTCTCAGAGATTTCGAGTTATCCCGATCCGATTTTGTCCCGATCTTCGCGTCGTTTTACGTGCTTGTTTTTCCTTCGGCGAGGGCCATCGAGGAGCATCTTTGATCATTTGGCGAAAAAGCCACGCACGAAATCGAAAAATGCACGAGGCATGGACGTCCGAGCGATGGCGAGAGGCGCCAGCCCGTTCGGCGCCGTGATCCGCGGGGTGCTGCTGGCCGCCGGCGGCGCCGCGCACGCGGCCAGCGTCCGCTTCTTCGCGGCGGGGGCCTTCGCGGACCTGGAGCGCTACGCCTCGGGCGGCCTCTTCGTGCAGACCTGGTCGTCGGCCTCGAAGCGCGCGGCCCTCGCGCTCGGCGCGCTGCTGGTGCTGATGGCGGGGGCCGTGACGCTGGTGGAGGGGGCGCAGTGGTGGCCGAGGAGCAAGTCCGAGGAGGGCGAGTTGAGACAACGGTACATGCTTGGCCTTCGGGGGGGACCCTCGTCGCTACGGCTGGGCGCCGCTCGGGAAATCGGTGCGTTTGCCCCCCCCCGGGAGGGGTCCGGGGACCTTTGAATTGCCGTTGCCTCAACTCGCCGTGCTCCGTGGAAGCACTGGCACACGGCAGGTTCGTGTCGTCTCGGCCGGCGGCGACCCTGCCCGCGGCGTTCAACGTGGATCGCCGCGGGCGACCCAGGATCGGTCGATGTGTTGACCGAGCTGACGTTTCGGCACCGCCCAATCGTTGAATGTTGACCGAGCTGACGTTTCGGCATGTCGGTGTTGACCAAGGTCGAACGATCCCCGCGGCGTCAGGAACCAGCCAGCGCCGAAGTCGGCACGACACGAGCCTGGCGCAGCCGAACGCCCACGCGCCTCCGGAGGTCCGCGCAAAGCCTGGGTCGGCAGGCCTGGGCCCCTCGTGGCGCAGCGCCTCCGGGCCGCCGCGGGGCCCTCCGGAGGCCTGTGCGGTGCTCGGCCGGTGCCCCCGCCGCTCCCAGGTGGGTCGCTGCAGAGGCCGGGCGGGTGCAGACAGTCGGAGTTCGGGCGCCCTTGATGTGGACGCCCGAAATGGGCACGGAAAGAACGGGTACATTGTACCCGTTCTTTCCGTGGCGCCCTTCCCAACGGGAGATACCATTGTTGTTGCGCATCGTTGTGCAATTGAGTGCTTTTGGTTGTGTTTGGAGCGACCTTTTGCTGCTTCAGCAGCGGTTTGGTTGCCCCCCCCGCTTCCGCCACCCCCAAGTGGAGCTGCATGATACAATGCCCAACAGCAGTTCCTGTTCATCTTGAACAGGGCTCGCTGTCCGCGCCGCCGCGGCCTTTGTCTCCAGTTGAGACAGGAGGCCGCCCGCCCAACAGCGGCCAGTGTTGGTTTGGGGCAACATTTGTTGTTGGGCATTGTGCCCATCTTTTCCGTACCCATTTCGGGCGTCCAAACTTGAGACTCGGTGGATAGACCTCCTACCCCGACACGTCGATTAGCGAATTGGCCGTTTTCGGTTCGCGAGGGGGCGTCGCGGCCTTCATTTTTGCGGGTCCAGGTCCGTCGGTTTCGGCCCTGGGCCGTTTTCACTAAAGGGTGGTGTACTAAAGGGAGTTTTGTCCACCGCCGAGAGACGGGGGTCAGTGCCAGACGGGAGTCGGCCAGAGCGCCCGATCTTGCAGGATCCTGCATGCAGGGTCTTGCAAGAACCGCCGCGTGGACCCGGGTTCGGTTGCAGGATCTTGCAGGATTCTGCAAGGCCTGACTGACCCGGTTTGGACTGACCCGGGTCAGAAGATCTACGAGGAGTGCGTCAATTTTGGTGATCGTTTTTTTATTCCTTGTTTTGCCGATCGGCGCGGGCCCTCGCGCCCCCCCTCCCCCCCCTCTGCCGCGATTAGTTTCAGGACCGAGGGCGAGGCCGCGCGCGCGGCGCGGCAGCTCGGCCTGCCACGCTAATTATTTGCGCGGGGGGAACCACGCGCAGCGCCGACTATTCCGCGCGGGCATCTCGGCAGATCCATCACCGTCTTGTGAACGGTGTAATCAGGAGAAGGCCCATGAATTCGCGGTCTTGAACTGCCCGTGCTGGGAGGCGCGGCGCGCCGCCGTGGAGCCGTCATGACGGGCCAACAATGGGGCGACTTTCCGCCGCGCACCATTCCCTGCGGGCTGCGAAAGGAGACGCCTCACATGCTGGATTCCCAGACCACAGTTGCACAGGGCGAGCTCCTACGGCCTGTCCCGCGGCTCTTTCCAGAGGGTCCTGAACAGGATCAGCTCGAGGAATGCAGCGACGAGGCTGGGGCCCGGATGGGCGGGCGGTGCCGGCGCCGGGCCGGCACCGCCCGTTCCTCGCCGGGGCGGGGCGTGGAGCCTTCTGCGGGCTGCGTCGCAGTCCAGGTCATGCAGCTCGAGTCCACGGCTGGCACTGTCCGCGCACAGGGCGGATGCTTTCGTCCTGCTCCACCATGTGGATGCCGCTGAGCGGCTCGTCCAAATTTTCGTCGACCGCGACCTTGTCGACGGGCCCGAAGACCTTCCCAGCGGTGAGCCACCTCGAGTCACGGGGGCCCAGGCTGACTTGGACCGAGGGATTCACCACGTGCTCCTGGCCAAACTGGACCAAGGCCCCAAGAAGTCGAAACCGCGTTTGCGGGCAAGGCGCATGCCGCGTCGCACCTATCGCTGCGGCTTTGAACCAACCTGCTGGTGAGCTCGCAACTGGCAGAGCACGTCAGCACCCTCTGCAGCCAGGGCGCATCGTTGCTGCTAATGTGTGACATGTTTGTGGCCCTTTCGCACAACGCCTCCATCCCTATCGAAGATCGGCGCCGCCGTGCCCTGCCCCTCCCAGACCAGCGCGCGGGCCTCTCGCGGTCCGACCTCAGCAGCAACAAGCCCAGCCGCGTGCCAAAGGGCAAGGAAGATACGCGCCGCCAGGCTCCCTGGGTGACGCCGTTCGGCCGCGTGGCCCACCAGGGCGTGACTTCTTCGGCGATCTCGATCTCTGGAGCGCCCCACTCGACGATTTCCAAGGCGACAGCCAGAGTCCACTCGGACTCGGAGCGCCCTTGAAGGACGATGCAAGCGACGCTTATCCGCGAGGGGGCCCAGCTAGTCACGGGCGCGACCGGGACGACGAAAGAACAGCCTGGCGCCAGCGTAGATTCCGACGGCTTGACTCACGCGGCGGATGTTGACCAGGACCTGGCCCCTGCCGCCTCTCCATCCGACCGCCGGGTCGCGCCCTCTCCCGCGGGCGTTCGGTGAACGGCGGACCGCCCGCAACCCGCGACGGACTCAACCTTGGCCGAACAGGGGCGCAGCGACCGGTACCCCTCTTGCGTCGCCTCGCGGCTGCAGCGCGACAGACAGCGCGCGCGCGCGACGCGGCCCCCATCGCTAGCACCACGGCGCTGCAGCAGCGAACCGCCGAAGTTACTCACTCCATCTAGGCCATCCAGGTAACCCCAGTAAGCGATTAAGGAACCCCCCCCCCCCCCCCTTCCGGCGAAAGGATAACGCACCCGGCACCCGGAAGCGTTATCCTGGCACCAGGAGGGGGTACACCAGATCGCACGGGTCCCACGGAGTCCCGCAGGTCTCGCAGGTCCCACAAGAGTTTCAAAGTGGTTCCCGACGGGTCTCGCAGGGGGGGGGGCTTCTTAATCGCTTCCAATCCCTCAGGACCACATGAAACCATTCCCTCCTCCTGTCTCTCCTCCCTCCTCCCCCCACCTCCTCCCTCCTCCCCCCCTCGCGTGGCACTGTCTCAACACCATAGGGGGTGCGTAGGAGGTGGTCTCTCACCGCGGTCTCTATACGTCCCAGTCGTCCAAGCATAGCAGGCGTGGCACTTTCTCGACACCATAGGGGGTGCACAAAGGGGTGGTCTCTCGCTGCGGTACACACACACTGAGGACGAGAACGAGGGCGAGGACGAGCACGAGGACGAGGACGAGGGCGAGGACGAGGACGAGGACAAGGACGAGGACGACGACGACGACGACGACGACGACGACGACGACGACGACGGCGAGGGCGACGGGGACGGGGACGGCGACGGCGACGGCGGCGGCGGCGACGGCTGCGGCGACGGCGACGGCGACGGCGACGCAGCACCTTCGGCTCAGGCTTCAGGCTTCAGGCTGCAGCCTTCAGGCTTCCTCCAGGCTTCCGGCTTCAGGCTTCAGGCTTCAGCCTGCAGCCGTCAGATGCAGATGGTGCAGGGCTTCGTCAGCGCCCTCGCCGTCGCCGCGGTCGCCGCGGTCGCCGCGGCCCCGCTGGTCCACCTCCTCCTCCTCCTCCTCCTCGTTCTCTTCCATCTCCGTAGCTCAGGTCAGCGAGCAGCTGGTGGTCAGCGTGCTCGGTCTGGCAGTCCTCTTCGTCCTCGGCGCCATCTTGTGGAAGATCAGCGTGGTTTCAGAGAACCTCGACGGCATGTACTACATCGTCGATGGGGTATCTCAGCGCTGCGCGTTCATCGAGCGGCGCCTCATGGGCTTGGAATTCAGCCCATTCGAATGCTGCCGTCAGGTCATCTCGGCAATTGTCGAGTGGGACTTGAATCAGGATGCGGCGTACGGCAGTCGTCAAGCCTTTCAGCAACTCAGCCGCTACTCGCGCAACCTCTACCAGCGCACTCACACCGTGCCTTCAGCGGCGCTCCTCAGCATCATCGTCAACAAAGCAATGACTGAGTCCGGCGAGGCCTCAGACGGCGCGAAGATCACGACGTTGAAGGCGGACTTCCGCAATCAGTGGGGTCAGCATCTTCACGGTCAGCAGTACGACGAGACAGCGAGCAAGGATAACCGCATGGGTCAGTTGACGCCTCAGGAGATCGTGGACCTGTACGGCTTTTATTAGGCCGTTCCTCAGGACTGAGGGCTGGGAGCCAGGACTGCGGAGTAGGGAGCCCTCTCCTCCCCCCCCCTCTCCTCCTCCGTGCAATTCCTTGTCCTTTCCTATTCTGAGCCTTTCTTTAGTTTTCCTCAGCTCTTGTTCAGCTTTTCCTTGGCTTTTCTTAGCTTTTCCTTAGCTTTTCTCAGCGTTTCCGTAGCCTTTCCTTAGCTTCCCCTTAGCTTTTCTCAGCTTTTCCTAAGCTTTTCTGAGCTTTTCCTGAGCTTTTCTTTAGCTTTTCTCAGTTTTTTCTTTACCTTTTCTAAACTTTCCTGAGCTTTTCTCAGCTTTTCCTTAGCTTTTCTCAGCTTGTCCTTAGCTTTTCCTTAGCTTTCCTTCTTTTTTTTTCAAACAAAAAACTAAAAAAAAACTTTTCCTTAGCTTTTCTTAGCTTTTCCTTAGCTTTTCTTAGCTTTTCCTTAGCTTTTCTCAGCTTTTCCTGAGCTTTTCTCAGCTTTTCCTCAGCTTTTCTCAGCTTTTCCTTAGCTGTCATCAGTTTTTCCTGAGCTTTATTCAGCTCTTCCCTACCTTTTTCTAAGCTTTTCC